CACCTCTTAAGCTTGCAGTGGGGGTTAAATGGTGCGATGATTCCAAACAAGGCTTTTAAAGGGTGAGGCGCTATCAGAGGCTTAACTCTGTGGATAATGGAGGAGTACTTTAATGTGCAGGGGAATCCTTCTCCAGAGAGATGAGGAGTGGAACGGACTCGCTCAGTGGCTCTTTGGGTACCCGAGACAGGAGATGGGCTCACCCCAGCCTCCCACCCCGGGCCCCACTTCTGCGGCAGATGGGAGAGGGAGTCCTGCCATGCCCACCTTGACTGTCCAGCTGGAAGTGGCCTCAGTTTTCTAGACTTTTCCAACCAGCCACCTGTTACTGACCATGCAACTAACAACTAAGACGTCCTCCCTCACCGGCCCCGTGGCAGGCCTCGGCATCCACGCTGGTGGCTGCTCTAGGGCACAGTGCAGAGCCTGCGGGACGTTTCTGTCATCATCCAAGTTCTATGGCCAGGGCCACTGCAAGACCCCCTTCCTTTCTCTTCCCTGCACAATCTTGGGGCCATCTCCGGAAAGGAGACGGATAAGACACTGTCTCCAGGGCTCAGCACGACGCTCGGGAAAGACCAGAGCCTCAGTTAATGGCAGCCCGATGACAACCCATGGCTGCTTTCTCCAGGAACCCCGGCCTCTCCCTGCCTCTCTCCGCAGGCCACTAGGGGTCCAGCAGCTGCTGCCTCCTGTTCCCAAGGTACCGTGGCTGTTGGGAAGTCGAGGCTTTGGGGTTCCAGAGACGCGCCTGCCTCTGCCACCTCACTGCTGAGTCCCTGGGCAGGTACGTCTCTCTGGGACTCAGTGTGTCCATCTGGAAGATGGGACTAAAAGAACCTGTGCTGCCTTGTAGTGACAGCGGTTGAAGCAGAGCTTGTGACAGGCCCCTGACTCATCTGTCACACCAGCGGGTCCCATCAAGGTCACCTTGGGGACCGTCATGTATTCAGCATAGGTAGCGCTGGCTGAGGGGCTGCTCCTGCTGATAACAAAGGCCGGGCTGATACATCTTTGGTACAGTGGTGTTTTTAAACACTTCTCCCTAAACAGAAGATGTTTCCAGGAGGCAGCAAACTCGGGTTTCTCTGTGCTATCATCTGTTCTGCTGTAACAGTTCTCTTAAACGTACATGATGCGATTGGAAAAAAAAACTGAGTGTTCGAAATTCCTCAGCCAGGCTTTAATGTACCATTACTCAGGGCTTTTTAAAATTTATCTTTTTACTATTGCAAAGGCATTTATGGACTGCTGTGTTGGATCAGAACTGCACAGATTGGCATAAAGAACGGCCACCGTCGCTGTCGCCCAGCTTTAAAATTTTGCCTGGACAGCAATTCTGCAATTTCTAGCATCGGAGCATAATTCAGGACTCATAACTCAGGAAAAAGAAAAAACCATGAGAGATTAAAGGCCTGCACGAGGCGCTGCAGGGGTGGGGGACGGGGAGCAGGAGCACCGTGCATGCGCAGAGGCCGTCCCACGACCCCAGAGTTGCTGGTTCCACTTGCTGGTGGCCGTGGTCACCTGACGGTCGCGTGCTGTAAGGGTTCCGCGTGGGCCTCCAGGTCCCCACTGAGTCCTCAGAGAGCTCTGAGCAGAGGGCGGGAGATGAGAATCCCTAGTGGAGGAGCCAGCCAGATCCCAACAAAAAGCCCAAGCAAACCCAAGAACCCAGGGCGATCGAGTCCCATGCATGGAGAGCAGGGGCCCCTTTATCTGCGGGGCCCAGCAGCCCGGCCAGAGGTGCGTCCCCTCCAGACCTCATAACTCAGCTTAACCCGGTGCTCAAGTTTGGGGGGCCCATTTGTCAGTGCCACGGCGGATAGGATCAGACCGCAGACCCCGGGCGGAGGGTGGCGGGTGAGATGCGTCACCCTGTGCCATTCTTCTCCTTGATGAACGGGGAGCTGTTAGCTGCACCCAGGCGTCATCTGGGTGAAGGATGCGCGCCGGCTTTCGGCGGCTTCTCCCGGAATTGGAGAGAGATTGTGGAGAACTCCCGGGCTCGGGGAGTTAAGCGGTGGGTTTTGTTGCTGGGGTATTGTGGATTTTTTACTTTTTAAATTAAGTTCAGTTTGGCCGAGGACACAGACACACAGAGCCATGCTTCAATCACAACTAGAAATTTGTGTGACACACAGGTCTCCTTTAACCACTGTTCTTACCTCGTAAAGTAAGAAGGTTTAAAACGAATCCTCTGCGACTTGGAAAAAAGAATCTAGTTGGATTCAACACTAGCTTTTATGCAAGATTCAAAAGGAAGGGCTGTATCTAGCCTTTTTTTTAACCCATAGACTTCTTAATAACATTTGGAGGAGATAATAGATTCTCTGAGCTTGTGACATTTTTTGGAAGGTGCAGGAATTGTCTTTAAAATTTCTTAATAAATTATAAACCCCAGGGAAGTTTATGGGGACCAATCCTTGTACATCTAACTCAATCACTATGCTATACCTAAGCCCCATAAACTTTAATCGTGAGCTTTTACATAAAATATTATTTCTGCTGCATTTGTATGTAATTCCAGCACGAGGAGGCTGAGGCAGGAGGATCTCTGTGAGGCTGAGGTCAGCCTGAGCCACATATCAAGCCTCTGTCTCAAGAAAACCCAGGAATAAATAAATAAGTACATAAAATAAAATATTATTTCTAAACCCCCTTTCCCAGTAAAATTTTACCATTTAAACCAGTCAGGGCATATTGTAGTCTAAATTAAGCATTGCTCTTACTGACTCTAAGTAGAAACATAGCTTATTGTATACTTTTAAAAGCTACACCAGGAATGGTAGAATTTAGTTTGGTTTTTAAAAGCTACATTAAAAAATAAATTGCTTATTTAAATTTTTTCATTTACTTTTTAACATAGTTCATGATACTATTGCAGTTTTAAATCACCAGTAATGTTTCTAAAAGAACAACAATATTAACTCTTGCTCTGGATGCAGGCTTTCTGGGTTCCGATGTAAGAGTGTAATCTTATTTTTGCTGAAGTGGAGTCTTTTTATTTCTTCTTTTCACACGCTCTCCGGCTGCGCTGGGTTATCGACTGGTAATTTAAGTCGGTATCTGAGAAATCCAGAAACTCTCACCTAGCAAACTTATTAAAATATATTTCAGACAATACCATAAAACATGTGCTTTTATCATTCAAGAAAATAAATAAAAGACCAGTGTATTTCATTCTGAAGGACAGTAAAAGTTTCTTAATCCAAAGCTTCTCAGGGACTTTTTACCAGCTGGATTTATAGCCAGCCTGCCGCGTCCACCAGCCCCGTAAAACTGCCACGTCTCTGGGTCAACACCTCGTGTGAAGGTGCCACCGCTCCAAAACCCTCCTGATCGGGACAAGACGTGGGGTAGACTCTTCCCCAGCTCCACAGAGAGGCCAGCCCGCAGACACGGGCAAGAGCTGGGGGCCCTGAGGGAAGAAGGAACCCCAAGTGCTTTTTGGCTTTTAAAATAAAGTATTTATTGGAATTGCAGTAACTCATCTAGCAGAGTGTGCAAAAATGTCTGGGACCTCTTTTCTTATTTTCAGACTTTTGCAGTCGATTGAAAAGCACACCCAGCATGCTCTGGTGTTTATCATGTAGACTGGAAAACAGACCATGACAGAATTATTATGAGTGATAGCTTGGGGCAGAGAGTTTAAAGAATATTCTAAGTAAATCAGAAGTCAATTTTTGCCAAACCTATACAAGAAAAGTAAACTTCAAGCGGTGAAACTTTTTACCTCGGCTGAGGCTTCTCTGGCGTAGGTCACTGTCTCTGTCAAGGTCTGGCAGGTGATTTACACGGCAAGGGACATCTCAATGTCCGGTCTTTCGCAAGCAATGTGCAAAATGGGCTCCGGTCACTTACTGGACCGCCACGATCCACTACATTGACCTTTTGGGCAATTCCAGAGATTGCCCTTCGCCATTTAAAGACAAATGGAAACTAGCAACAAAATACAAAAATTTAAGAAAGAATTATAGAACTGAGAAAAGCAATAAAAACTCCAAAGGCCAGCATTAGATACAAAATGGAAATCTCTGAGAGTTTACCCTGAGTGCTCTCAAGCTGCTCTCTAGGGTTATTTTGCTAGGACCTAGTTAGTGTTGCCTTCCTAGCTGAGCTGAAATTACTGTTGAGTTTTCTAGCATTTGTTCTAATCTTTTTCTTTTGCTTCTGATGAGTAAATTTATTGTTCTTGAATGTAACTTTCTCAGTTACACAAAGTTGGGGCATCCTACATATCTAAAAAGTATTTTCATTTTTGTTACTTTTTAACCCCGAACAGAGCAGATCTAAGCAAATTAAGATATTTTGAGTTAGAAATTATAATACAGTTCGAAATTTTATCCACCGAACAGGTAAAAAGCTTTCCCTGTTTGTCTCCTTTTTATGTGTCTCCTCCCAAACAAACAGGGAATTCTAATGCATCCCAATCAGGGGGAAATCCTTCAAACATGCATCAAATCAAAACAAATTTGTTGTTTTTGAAGAAGCCAACCTGCAAAAGATTCCACATGATTTCCTGGTGTCCCTTGGAAAAATTAAAAAATTTTAAAAAGACACTTGCCTTTGTTGATGAAAATATTTGCATATACAAAGCAAGAAAAGAAGAGAAGCTCTTTACTTTCAGATTCGCTAAAAAGACAAAGCGAACAATTATTTTTCATAATATATTAACAAGAACTCAGCTGTGATTTCTAGGCAATCTCTCCTGTCCTTATTCTCTGATAAGTAAGTACCATCCCGTCCAACAAGCTCACGCTGGTACTTCCTGGCAGCCGCAAAGGTCAAACTTTTGCAAATAACTTCCACATTAAACTGTTACTAATGGTAATTACCCCCCAGCTGCTCATTATAACGCCCCTGATTTTAAAGGAAAAGGAAAGGAAAGGAAAAGCATAACAAATGTTAAGTTGATTAGCAAATTTTGTTTCAAAAAGAAGCACTCAAGAGTGACTTTTCTCAGTAGCCAAGCAGAGTCAGGACTCTGAGGCGGAAAGCCGTTCTTCAGAGAGCTACAGCCCAAGCCACCCCAGGAATTTCAAATCAACGGTCACAGAATGGAACCCAGGAGGAGTTGCGTCTTGTGGGACCAAATGGACAGAAACATACACAGCCCAGATGCAACTGAAGGCCATTTTCTGCTTCTCTATACAGATAAGAACGCTTCGGAGTTTTTATGAAAACCCACAGTTCCGTCTGTCTCGTGAGAAGCGCTGCCTTTACATTAAAAACAAAAATGAACCAGGCGGAGGAGGTGTCTGGGGAGCCTGATACAGATCAGGAAACGGGGTTCAGGGAGTGACCTGACTTGATTGGAGATTAACCTCAAAACTGTCACTTCGAATTACTGCTTTTTAAAACAGTGTAAACATTCACTGTTGCTGTGAGGATCCACAACGTTTTCTTACAAAGAGATTTCATCTGCAGGATTTCATCTGCAGGTTTCCTCTACTCTGATGTGATAGGAAAGCCAACAATAAACGCACAGCTCAGATTAAAACTGCCTCCGTGCAACTTTGGAGGAACGGAATCTTTAATAAGAGTGAGCTGATTGGCATGTTTTAAGAAAAGCAATTATCTTTTCATGAAGGGGGAAGAAAAGCAAATTAGTCAAAATGGCCAGCTTCTACTTGAACGCCGTGGGCTCTCTCCACCTGTAAGAGACTCCTCTTCTTTTTGTTCTGCGAGCTCTATATCGCTCTTCCTTTACGATTCCTAAGTTAGCACAGTGGCTAACATTTCTCTTTGGGGAAAAAGGTGATATTTAATACTCTAAAATATGGCTTCAAATTTATTTACAGAGTTCCCAGGTTTGCTAAAACGGGACCTATTTCCATTAGAACGGGATCTGAGCATACGGATAATTCGCCTTAAACTTCTCTCCAGGTTCTGAGCAGCCTGCAACAGGACGCACGAAGGGAGAACACTGGGTCCCACGCCCTGTCCCGGGCTGGCACGGGAAGCACGCTCATGGCAGCTTTTCATTGGCTCTTGTCTAGCGAGTAAGTATTCCAAAGCACTGCACTGCATTTAATGGTCCCCTAAAAAGCACATATAATTTTATGCTACCTGTAGACATTTATTCTGCAGGAAATGCACACACACTCATTGGCCATCTGCACACCAGACGTGGCTTCCTTCGGTTCCTCTCTACGGCCTGCAACTCTGTGAAGATCTGAGCTGCGTCCACCGAGCAGGGTGCTTCCATGGTGGATTTTAAAGCCGGCAGGATTCCCATGTTGTGGGGTATGCAATTGCTCTGATTCAATCCGCTATACAGGCTAACCACGTCCTTTCAAAAATCTAACAAAGCAAAAAGCATCTGTGAATTTGGTTGCAATCATAGCTGAGCCCTCCTCTGTTTATCTACCCAGGATGATAAAACCTCCAGGTGCCGGTTCTAGTTTATTTTTCTTTCCTTTAACTCATAATGCAAACACACTGAATTGATGGTTGTAAGAAAGTAGTATCTTTGAGGTTTTAAGGCACTCTTAAAATAAAAACCAGGAAATTCCAAGATCTGAGTGCTCATAAACTACATACGTGTACAATTTTTATCCTTGAATGAATTTTCTATGCTCCTAGAGCGAGAATACAGATTAAGGCTCCACTGAAACCAAATCCAGCAAAGTCGGAAAGTAGTATTGTCTTTTGCCACAAGAGGGGGCTAGAGAATTCCGATCGCTTCCAAGGTCTATAAAACCCTTTTAACTGCTACTTTATAGACACTCAATTACAACAGGCCATAACGCATTAAAGCATTAAAACACACATCCATTCCAGCATATGCCAAGCAGGCACTGGGGTCGGCAGCCGATCCTAACGCCGGCGTCAAGTAAACTCTCGGGGGCTTCCAGGGCTTCCCAGTTTCCTCCCTGGCACTGCCCTCCCCAAAACGAGGGCCCCCCAGTTAGATGACCCCCTTGGAGTGGCACATTCCCAGGAATCTGCAGAGTGTGGCGGGGTGGCACGAGGTAGAGATGGCGAGGATGGCAGTTTATGGAGCTTGGAAGCGCAGGGAGGCCAGGTTCCCTGGGCACTGGCAAGCGTCTTTAGGGGTGATGATGGTCAGAGCTCGGGACCCAGCTCACTCTGTGTTTTAGCATTAAGAAAAAGCTAAGATCACATGGTGAAATAACGTGATTATAAAATTATGCCTCCTCACGGCTCCCCATGCAAAAATACTACAGCACACCAGCTACGTTCTAGCCGCTTAGAGAATTGCTCGGCAAATTGGATAAAGGCTTTTATAAGTGAAAACTTCCCCGGGAAGAAAAACTCCCCCATAAATCTCAATCTTTTACAAGCTAGAGGATCCATTCTGCATAATCTTTCTCTCCTCCTAGACGCATGTATCTGGGTTTAATCCACTTAGGGGCCAACATGAAGAAGAGGCTGTCATCAAAGTGGGAAAGCGGCCTGGAGCAGGGGTCCATGCCTCCAGGACTCGAGGGACGACAGGCTGACGGTTAAAATCACCCCAAGACCCCGAAATCTTAGAGCTTCAGAAGGGGAGCACCCAAGGTAACACAGCAAAGCTCAGCGAGAGTCAGGACTCCAAGCAAATGCTGCCTTTAACTTGGCGTTTGTAGACCATAAGCGCAGGGAATCAGGCATGGTAGGCAAGATCTTCCGAGCAACAGCAGGCCACACGGACACCTGTGATAATCACCCACTCGAACACACCGGCATTAAACTTCCTGAATTCAGAGTTTGCACTCGAGGCCTTCTATAAAAGTTTACGCTCACCTGCCAGGTCACTCATTTAAAAACTGACCCTCTGCACTTAAAGCCCACCGCTGTTACGTCAGTTCCACAGTGGTGTTGCCCCTTTCAGAGGGTGGACCTTTATTCCTGGCCCCCAGTCTGGAAATGACTTCCAAAAACACTCTGGCCAGAAGCCAGATCAAATATTATTTTAACTTTCTTCCAAGCTACGGCTGGTCCAGCCAGTGAGTCTTTGCTACAAACCCCTCCTGGTCACCAGCGTGCGATCACGCACTCTGTCCTTCCCCGTGTGGGTTCCCACGTCTCCCCTCTCCAGCGAGAGTGTTCGTTCACTGAGGAATCACGTCTTCCTCCTCTTTTGTATCCTCCAAAATCACTAAACTTGTGATCACACAAGGGCATTCAATGGAGGTATTCAGTAACTAACTTTATTAGCAGAATATGGAAATCTATAGCATGGATGAGCAGGCCCAAAAGATAGCTAATTAGTCCTGCGTCCAGCCCATCGAGGGACTTGTTAGGGGGCACTCATAACTGTAACCGGTAGAATGGACAGAGCTTCGGGAAGGGGCATTCCCTCGAGGTGGCCTGGGGTTTTGTTGCATGTTGGCTGTAGGACCCAGACTCGCTGAGTCTTCGAAATTATCAAAATCAGCATCTTTGGGAAACAGAGACAAGAGGGGCGGATGTCCAAGTTCCTCCCAGCCCAGAAGCCAAAGTCCAGTGCTGGGCAAGGGGCGGGGTTTACTCGGGTCCCTGAGGCTGGCTGTGTCATGCCGAAGGGTGAAAAATGGGTCATTCATCGACAGATAATTGTTATTGTTTTTTAATTCTTCACAAAACATGTATAATCCTTGGCGATCATCTGTTTAAGTTATATAAATTACTGTCAACTGCGAAACCCGGATTGTCATCTTCCACTGTGATTTATACCAGACTGTATAAACGACATGGTGTCTTAGATCTAATAAGACATTCATCTTCATGAAGGAGGCCACTGCGACGCTGAGTGACAGTTTACTTACCCCTGTCACCGTTAACACGGAATCTTGAATTCCTCCCAGGGACCTCAAGTTGGATGGAGTCACCCGAAGCCAACAAAAACTCGCTCAGAAATCCACCGCGCTGCTAATGTGGTGTTTCACTGCGAATTTTGTTCTTGGGCTCCCCAAACATACACAAGGACCAGTTTCATGTTGCTCTGGAGTGTGAGCCTCCAATACACTCGTGTAACTTCCCCTGGGGTAGATGGTGGTCATCACCTTCCTAAAGAGACTGTGTCTCCAGCTAGCCACAAAGGGGGGGGGGGACAGCTGTCTGAAATAAAAAGAGAACGAGACGTGTGCTTATTTGAATTTCTGATGTGTATTTCTTTATAGACTGAGAGAGGCTATCCTGGGCCATTTTCATTGTCTTCATATTCTAGAACGAAAAGGAACTGAAAATCTAAATATATTTGTAGAGTTTACATTATTAAAAAAAAATACAGGAGGTCAGATGTGGGGGCACAGGCCTCTCATCCCAGCCCTCGGGAGGCTGAGGCAGGAGGATTGCCGTGAGTTCAAGGCCAACCTGGGCTACACAGTGAGTTCAGGACCAGCCTGCCATACATAGCAAGACCCTGTCTCAAAAAACTAAACCATGGGAAGAAAAATATGGTCCCCACCCCATTCACGAGAAAAAGGCAAACGACTCACTGTTTTTAGGCTGCTAATTCTCCCGGTTCACAAGGACACTGCCTGGTATTCCAGGTATTCCAGGACATCACTGGTATTCCAGGTTCTAGAGACGGCTGGTACTCAGGTGCCTGTGGTGGCCTGTAACAGGTTTCTAACATTCCTAGTGATGTAACTAAACATTGCTCCAAAGTTGTCACTGGGACCTCACCTAAGATTTATCCTGATCATTGAGGTCGTTTACCTCTAATCCCTGCACGATTAACTCACAGACCTCGGTAAGCACTGTAAAGTGTGGCTTATTTAGTCCGAGAAACAAAACGATTTATATACGAACATGAGGCCCCATGAATGCTTTTTACACCAAGTCTCAATTTTCTTGGGAGGCGCTTGCTTAGATTCTGACGCCAGTACTTGCTTATCGGGAGCAACCCTAGGGCAGGAGCTCAGTTCCTTGAAAGAACACCTTTTAAAACCAGTTAGGGATCTTTACACCTGATAACACACCCATGAGAACAGAAAAGCAAAACACATAAACATACAACTAATTAGAGATTCTAACACAACCTTCTCAACAAATAAAAGTTCCAGGGTATAGAAGATTGGAAGAGTCCATTTATAAACACAGCAAGAGCAGCTGATAAATATTTCAGGAGGGTATCTAGTACTTAAATATAAAATAATCATTACTGAGCCACAAAGGAAGTCTCAACTAAATCCAAAGATTTGTAATAGTGCAGGCTGTGGTTTTACATTGTAATGGAATAAACTTGGAAATTAATAGTAGAAGAGCAGACTTATAAGTTCCTAGAAACTACAACAAAATGCACAAAAATAAAAACCAGAACAAAAAACATCAAGAAATGCTTCTCAATCACATGTAAGTTAAAAAGAGTTTCATAAAGATTGTGAAGCACTTAGAATAAAGTTATGATTTTTATTTCTTGTGGGCTTTTGGGGGGGACAAGTTCTTACTATGTAGCCCAGGTTGGTCTTGAAGTCACTATGTAGTCCAGGCTGGCTTTGAACTCACGGCAATCCTCCTGCCTCAGCCTCCTGAGAGCTGAGATTATGTGTGTGTGGCACCGTGCCTGGTAGAATTAGGAATTATAATGAAAGTAATGTATATCAGATTTTGTGGGGGTGCCGGTAGATTAGTTGAGGAGAATTTTTAGCTCTGGATACATTTCTTTAAAAATCGATAGTACATTCAGAATCCTGGTAGGGAAGGTGAGGGGGGAGCCCACAAGAGTTTGTGGCCTTGGGGCACAAACAGGAAGCGAAGGTAGCAGGTTAGGAGCTCGCTGGGACCCCAATCTCACACACGGATTAGCTGTATCATCCACAGCAAATCACTTTTATTTCTCTAAGCCTCATTTCTTCCACCTGTACAATGGGGCACCAGTACCTCCCTGTGAACCTGTCCTTGAATTCACTAAGGTAACCCACAAAAAGCACTTTCACCAGCCCCGCCAGCTCCTAGATGCCATGATTTTAATTTTGGCCTGAGAGAATTTATTACCATCTTGAATGTCAGCCACAAAAATGTAATCAATAAACTAAACCTTAACTTTCATTTCACAGTACTAAAATAGCTCGTTTAAAACACATGATGACCCAGGGCCTTCTTTCTGTTATTAAAAGACAGAAAACCACAGCACAGAAGCAGGTCCAGCATCTTTCGCGCACTTTATCCCTGAGATGATGTATTCGCCAACCCAAAACTGGTGCATTTTGCAGCTAAAAAAGAAAGTGCGCTAAAAATAGCACTGTAAAACAAACAAACCAAAGCCACATCTCTTTAACGCCAGGGTTTCCTGCACAGGTCTGCAGACACTGCTAACCGGCATGGAGGACATTGATCCCCGGTACTTCTACAGTTCTCCTTTTCACAGCCCCCCAAAGCCTGAATCTCACTGTGCTGGAGGACAACCCCCCCCCCCCGCCAGCCGCGGATAAGAATCTGTTTCTATCAGCTCTACCCGTCCAGTGTCCCCCCTTTCTTTATCTTGGGGGCAGCCATGCCTACAGTGAGAGGCTCCGTAGTACAGAGCGCAGGTTTCTTTGAAAACAATCTGACTTTTTCTCTTTCTTCCTCAAGGAGTCACTGTGTTCTTTCTAGAATAATTACTCTCTCCTACCTGACTTTTTAAAAGGCGTAGGCAGCCAGAGGCTTTTCATGACACAAAAGGAATAAGGTTATAGAGGCACTAAAATCCATCATATACTTGCACACTGAAAACAATCAGATCCTGAACTTCTTCTTTTTTTTTTTTTTGTCTTTTTGAGACAGGGTCTCGCTATGCAGTGCAGGCTGGCCTCAAGCTCACTTTGTAGCCCAGGCTGGTCTCGAACTTGCAAAGATCCTCCTACCTCAGCCTCCAGAGTGCTGGGATGACAGGTGTGTGCCACCACACCTGGCTAGTTACATTTTTTTTTTTTAACTCACAGCCTCATGCTTGCCGGCAGATGCTGGACCACTGAGCTATATCCCCAGCCTTGAGCTTCTTAATTATCTGGCTTTTATGCAGTTATTATATTCAGTGCTTTGTACTTAAATTGTTTCCCCCTTCAGTATGATGGAGTCTGTACTTTCTGTTTAGAAACCAAAGCATCGCTGCTTTTTATGTGCGTCCCTCCCCGGTGCTGGGGCCGAGCTCCTGTGAGATTTCCTGTGCAGGACAAGCTCACTCTCGGGTATGAGTTTTACCAAGGCCAAGGAGCAGGTGGGGGCCCTGCCCTGGGGGGCGGCCAGCGCCTGTTTTCTGCATGGTTTATGCTGTAACCCGGCTTTTAGGTCTCACTGTGCACCTGGCCAGGACCTACCATTCTCCCAGACATCTTTGTGGTTTTCACAGAGGGGTAAACCAAGCATGACCTGCTCATGGCTTCTCCTCGCCGAGGCCGGGAGTGGACAGAGCAGACTGTGTCCAGCCGGGGGTGGAACTGAAACCCTTTGAACATTTTCTGGTAAAGATGTGATTGCAAAGCAAACCAGAGGAGACTGTGTTTCCTCGTATCTCCCCAGGAGCGAAGACACTGACTGTCCTTGTCCACCTTGTCTGCCTAGTGATGGCGCTCACCCAGTGAAATAGTGATCCTCATGAGGGCAGGAACCCAACACAGTTTCCACAGTCCTTGCTATTACTCGGGAGGCTGAGGCAGGAGGATCGCTAAGAATTCAAAGCCAGCGTGAACCACAGAGTGAGACCCTGTCTCAAAAAACCCAACCCACAGCAAGCTGTTCTCTGTAAAGGGAAATCTAAATAAACAGGATATAATGTCTATGCTAAATCTTAGCACCTCTGTAACCGTCTCTTCCATGTAACGGGAATTCATATCCTCTTTCATTTTCAGGAAAGGAAAGAGGCTTTTATCCTTCCTGCTGTGGATTCGGCACCGTGCCCGACCTGCTGCTGTGCGGAAACTCTTGACGTCAACGCGAGAACCCGGGAGTCAAGATTTTAGCTGCTACCATCGACCTGGTCACTTTGGGAATTGTTAACTTTCATGCAGAGAACTAGGAAACCATCTGCTAAGTAAGAATTTAATACTACTAGTGTAATTGGCTTCTTCCCTATAGGAATCTTTATGGAATAAAGTTCTCGACTTTGATAGGCTCCAGACACTAAAGTAACCTTTTGCACGCTGTATGTGCGTGTGTGTGTGTGTGTGTGTGTATGTGTGTGTGTGTGTGTCTTGTGTGTGTGGTGCTGGGGACCAAACCCAGGGCCTCCCGCACTTTAGACCAATGTACTGCCCCTGAGCTCGATATATCCCAGTGCCATCGATAGAGGCTTTAAATTTCAACCATATGTATTTATTTGCTTACTTTTGGTTTTTTTGAAGACAGGGTTTCACTCTGTAGCTCAGGCGGGCCTCAAACTCATGATGACCCTCCTGCCTCAGCCTCCCTAGTGCTTGGCTTACAGCTGTGCACCACTGCACCCAGCTGTGTAATGAATGCTGCCGGCTTTACATTGTAACTTATGGCCCGGTGTAGTGATGCAGGCCTGTGATCCCAACACTGTGAGAGCAGGAGATCCCAAGTTAGAACCCAGCCTGGGTAATTTTGTCACTTAGTGAGGCCCTGGATCATAATAAAACACAAAGTCATTAAATAAATAAATAGAGCTGGGGTGTGGTGTAGCTCAGTGTAAAGGTCTGGGTTCAATTCCTATGACTAAAAAAAGTTTTAAATTATGCAAGTATTGAGGCTTTAGGGGAGAGTTCAGTCCGTTTTGCTCTGTAATAGACTCAGACTGCTATTTTAAAAACTCATATAAGTTTTATTTGTGCAATTGTTTTGTATATAAATGTTTATTTTCCTGACACTTACTTCAACGTCATGTGTTAACTGACACCTCTACAAATTCCTTGGAAGCTGTCCTCTGTGGTGGCCCGGAGAACCCACACATTGTGGAGGCTGGAAATCTGGAAAGGATCAGGGACATGCATATTCAGGCCGCAAACTCAGCACCAGCCAGCTCCCCTGAGAGGTCTCTCTGTGTCTTGCTGCATCCTCAGCTGTGTTTGAGAAGGCTGGGAATCACCCCGGAAGTGACTCAAGGATTCTCGAGGTGCTGATGTTCTGACACTGTGGAGCACTGGATTAACCAAAGCCCCACGAAAGTTAGTTTCTTTATGTTTTGCACTGTTAATTTTCTACAATTATTAATCAGCTCCTGCAGTAATTATTAACCTTTCCATTCAAACCGTGCTTTTAGTTTAATATCTGAGTCAGGAGAGCTCCTCCACTGTGAGGCCCCATTTGTAACATGTAAGCGTTACTGATTTTGCTAACAGGCAAAGCTTGAGAACAGTACGGTGCTTCTGCGAGATTCCGCCCGGGCCCGTAGCTCTGACTCGGAGGCCGCTAGTCAGTGAGGACCGAGCGGATATGATTCACCAAAAGAGCTGCATGAAAAGGAGTGAAAAAGAGAGGATACGGATTCTAAACTCTAAACTTGATGTTTGGAAGAAAAAAGACACAGATGGGAAGATTATAGGTTAATAAAGAAAAAAGAAGAAACGCTTACCAACTTTATTCTTAAACCTTTCAAGGAGCGACGCTCTTTCCATTTCATGTTTAGTCACCCTCCCCGCTGCTGGTCCAAGCCAGGTGACCTCCAGTGGCGTGGCTTCGTGGTGACCACGCAGCCCTCCGCTCGCTGGCTGACCCCACCCCGGGACAGCTGAGCTTGAGCCGGAAACTGGCCGCCACTAGGCCAAAATCTTTGCACTCCTGTGTCTTATTATCGGGTCTCGGCCTACTCCGCACACTTCTGTTCCACACCGTGTGAAATGTGGGCCCCCGCACCTGAGTCACTTCCCCCCACTTCCCAAAGTTCAGGTAACATGGATGCACCCAAGGAAGTGCCAGCAGTTCTTGTGTCTGTCCCTTCCCTTTGAACAACACCGTGACATCGGGGCCAGGGGAGGACACAGGCGAAGGGACATCGCATAGAGCTCAGGGGTCTCCAACCAGCCAGGCTGAACGAATAACCCGGTTGTTGTGAAAGAAAACCCCCGCTCTTGAGCACGTCGGCGAAGCTGGGAAATCCCCAGGAACGGTACACAGGGTCCACGACCTCCAAATGCCCTGGCAGCCTCTGAGCTGGCACCGTTAGGAAAAGATCAAAGATGCTGCTTCCAGCTCCACCGTGGAGTCAGCGTCTCCCCAGTCACCTCCGCTCCACGAGAAGCCACGCCACACTGCCCTGTCTGTGCACACGCTGCCCTGTCTGTGCAAAGGCGCGGTTGCCCACCTGGCGCACACAGGGTATAAGCTGCCAAAAGGCAGAGCTAGAAGCACCAAAGGGAGCAGAGTGGGCCCCTGCCGTGCAGGGAGATGGCACTCACCCTCATCCTGGTACTCTGCCAACGAGGGGGCGTCTGAGGCCAGCAATGGGCCGTGAGCGTCATCAGAACTGTCAGGTCCGCGTTCTCCTCCTGAGTGACAAGAAGGGAGAGGAGTCATCCTCTGGACATCGTCACAGAGCTGTGGGTAGGTTCTCCTGCCACTCACACACACGCACACCTGCACACGCGTGTACACACAAAGCATCTTTTACTTAAACATGGCCTCGATTCATTAACCAACAAAACATGTCACTCTGAGGACCAGCTTACCTGGATGGAAATTTTCCACTCAAGTAATTCTCCCCACTAGAGCTAAAGAACTGTTAGGTCACCCTGGGAAGACGGCGCCCCACCCCGTCCTACCTAGAATTTTCTGCTTAGGGACTTCTCCCTGCTCAGAGACCTCTCCCTCCTACTCTGCGCCAAGCAGCTACAGACAACTTTATCCTCAGCACTGTTTACTCCATATTTTCAAAGAAAATAGAAGGAATAACAAAGGGTTGAGCTATACATGATACAATATAGCAAGGTCAGTATTTTTTCTTTCTCTGAAAACTAAGGGACAGAGAGAACCGGCCTTGGCCAGCTTCTCTTTCTATTTAAATCACTACTTGTTTTGCAAGCTTAATAAAGTTCTCTCTGTAATTCTAGTTTACAGCCCAGGCCAGCAACCTCAGAGGAGTTCTAAAAGCACTAAAAAGGTAATATTTGCTCTGCAAAATGACTTTGATAAAAGGTAATGCATATACAACACCGGATTATGCAATTAAAATCATGCTAATCCCTTTTGGGTGTTTTCAGCCTACACGGAATGGTATCCTGGAGAAGTGGCTGGTGATATTGTGATACTTTAAAAGGTTCAGACGGAAGATGTTAGCTAATTCAGAAACCGGAAGCAGGAGAGCCACAGATGGCTGTCCCCGCGTCCCCCAGCAGAGGTGCGGCTGCCGGTGAAAGGCCACCGCAGCTGTTCGTGCCTCTCACCAACTGGAGCGGGCATCCCCAGCCGAACTGAAAGTTATCTCCGATTGTCATTTACCGAGGAAGCCGCCGGTGCTAAGCTCGGTAAACACTGCAGCGTTTTGGCTCTGGCTTTCACCCAGGGAGCTGTGAGAGCAAACAGCCCACACAGAATCTCCACTGCCTCACTCAGAGGTTTATTTCCTACAATTAAACGGGAAGGGTGGGGAGGTATAAAATGGTAAAACCGAACAGCCATGTCCTTCCCTGTCCATAAATTATGCAATTCTGGCTCACTTGCCCTCAGATGCGCGAAGGTAGGCAGAACACCCACAGGTTAGGGACGTTAGAAATACACTGTAGAGCTTTAACCCTCACACAACAGTCACAGGCTGACGCCAGAAGAAATGCTGCCGCCGATTAGTTCGCTTCGTCAGGGACAAAGCTTGGAGTTAGACGCAAGGCAGCGCTGCAGTTTCCATAAAAACCAGAAAAAAATTCCCGAATCCTGCATCGAAGTTCAAGATGCTCAAATTTTACATCAGTGCAAATCCACAGAAATCAAATCCACACACCGCAAGCCGCATCCTCCTACTTGGGGGAGCTGAACATGAGCTGTGAGTTGAAAAGAAACGTTTGAGTCAAATAAAAACTCTTTTAAAAAAAGAAAGCAGGTAATTTGGATCACAAGCAAAATCTGACATTGGTAGTTCGCATGCATAGAACATCACTTATGAACTATCATTCAAAGACAAACCTGCAACGCAAACCCATACAGACTATTTATAGCTAGTAGCATTTTAAAAAGCTTTTAAAAACATCTAGGTCAGGAAGGCTTTTGTTGACTATGTTGTATTTTTTTTTAAAAAGAACTGTTTTTCTTTGGGGATCATTTAGGTTTATGTAAGTGTCACAAAGATAGTACAGAGATTTTCTATAGACTTCTCACCGATTTTTCCCAGGGTTGCCTTCTTCCATAACTAAAGTGTGTCTTCCAAAGCAAGAAACTAAGGTCACTCCACTGCGACTCACTGAATTACAAGCTTTATTTGCTTTTCACAAGTTTTTCCGCAATGCCCCTTTTCTGTTCCGGGATCTAGTGTGGGCTTCCGTGGTGCACGCCTATAATCCCAGCACTCAGGAGGCTGAGGCAGGAGGATCATTGCGAGTTTAAGACCAGCCTGGGCTACAAAGTGAGCTCAAGGCCAGCCTGGAGTATATAGGGACACTCTGTCTCAAAACGACAAAAAAAAAGGAAAGACAAAAGAAAAGTTGCTTCCACAGTGTCCTGTGGTCACTGAGATTGTTACCCAAGGTGGCAATTTGACAACTATTCTGCCCCCAGTACCAGATGTGTCCCTGAAGGGTGGGGGTGGCAAACCCATGGCAGGTGGGCCACAGCCAGCTGATTCTGGTTGTCGGCAACTCTAGAAGGCTTGCCAGCACCGCCACAGCAGGGCAACAGGGAGGGGATACAACAGGAGGTATGGAGACAGCCTGGGTGGGTGCTGCACACACCCGGGGGCAGGGAAGCCTGGAAATCCGCCCTGCGCGCCAGTCAGTGGCCCACGAGGACACTGTTGTTACAAGTGTTCCTATCAGGTGGCCCGGCTCCCCTGGGCTCACAGGGAGCCTAGCCTGAGCCTCTGGCTACGGAGATGCTCCTGGGTAATTAAAATGATTACTCCACTGCTCAAGCTGCATGGGTGAAAAGTTTTATAGAAGAAGCAGCAATTACCCTGGTCATCTTGGATGGGTATAAGTGGAAGGTGTCATTTCTCCTTAAAAACAGACCCGATTCATCCACGTGTCCCCCGGATTCACCCACGGTTCTGCCAACTGCAGTCCCCAAGGGTCGTGGCTGCAGTCTTGGGGGATCAGACATGAACGATCACAAACTCCAGTGACGGACATTTCCACCGGGAGGCTCTGCAGTGAGGCTCCGAGTGCCACCTCCGCACCCGGGCGGCTCACTCGGAATCCGCGCAGATCGATCCAAGCCCACCGCGTCTCCATCCGTCACGCCACTTCCTCGCTGCCTTTCCAAATAAGAGCTGGGGCCACACCTGCAGTCAGCTGTGGATCTGCTCCTCCATTCCAGCTAGCGTAAGAACCGGGCGCTGGCGCGCTCCTCGGGGTACTCAGTAACCAGCGAGCCAGCACCGAGGGCCCGTTGGGGAGCAGATTTCCCCCCTGTGCTCGTCCGAGAGTCAAACTCAGTAAGTTGGGAACTTCTGAGGGCTGGAGCAGAAAGATAAAGCAGCTTTGCGTCAGGTGTGAGGTAATTATTTGCCAGATTTCTGTGCTGTTTTTATTCCCTGCATTTTCATTAACCGTTAATGAGTTTCCCCCTTAATTCTAAGACTTTCTACCATCGGTAGCCATTGCACGTTGGCTTTTATTTCTTTTCCTCCTCCTTCTGCCACGGATCCAGCCGGCTGTGGGTGCTCCACGAGCTTTACGGAGATGTGAATTAAGCTGCTAAAAACTTTCACTTACGAATCGGATTCCAAATAAAATGGGGAGAATGAACCACAATGCTGCCCCCTTGTAACTATTTTGCTTCACAATAAACTCGAGTCCTGAACTCGCAGGTACCAGTAACGGATAGAAAGAGTGTACATTGACAATTTTACCCCCCAAAACAAGGGAGAAATAAACTATGACAGGAAGCAGTTTAAGCATAAACACACACACACACACACACACACACACACACACACACACACACGGATGGCAGGTAACGGCAGAGACATAAATACGTGTTTGCTTATTCGACATGCAAAGGCTCGATGGTTTTTCATGTTAGGTTTGCTCATCTTTTACAATTAACTGTGAGGCATGGTATAAAGATGGCTAAGACTGTTTTAGGGCTTGCTGGAAACTTTCTACAGTTGCTAACTCTTTCCCATGGATCTCTGGATAACTAAAGAAATGGAAACTAAAGTCCACTCGGGCACACTTTTCTGTTTCTTCTTATTCTTGCCGCCACTGTTGGGGGACACAGGATTCCCCGCCCTGTTTAACATTTACGGATGCACGAGCCCTACGTCGCCCTCTTCAAACAAATAAATCCTCACTAAAATGCTATAATAAGGTCCCTGATCCAAATCCGGTTAGTTTTCATGCTTGACGGTATTAATATCACCAGATTTTCACAGGCCAATTTAATCAGAATTTGGTTCCTAAGGCTGCACCGCAGTCAGAGCAGCGAGGTTACAATTTATTATTCTCTTGATTATAACCACGCTCCCAGGTCACCGAAGCTCACCCCAGTGGGGGAGATATTTGGGAACAGACATGACCATGTATGTCAAATGTTACCCACGTGCAAATATGTTCTGGAGGACATGTGTGACACCCTGGTGACGGTCCTGCCACGCATCCCTTATAAATGACCCCCCACGCTCATGCATTACAAAATGTATGGCGTTTCCCACCGAATATTTTAGCACCTCCGCTGATGGCTAAATTTCCGTTTGGACGGGGATGGTTAGTTCCTGCCATTTATCCATGTAGTGCCAAGGTCTCAAATTCTTCTCTGCCCTGTACAGTCTGCCTTTCTGTCCGTCTTTTCTCTCTCTCTCTCCTAGATCTATCCATAACTCAATATATAAATATCTCCTCTCCCTCAAGGCCTTGGGGGGTGTAATAGCACCAAATGCCATTAAGTCCCCAGAGCAAATGACAGGCCAGGTAAAGAAGGAACTTTGCCATTTATCAGCCTCTTAAAAAGTTACTCCAGGTAGATCCCAAATGTGCAAGGTGGGCCAAAGCCCAAGCTCTGCAGCCTGGGATACTGTTTGTTGATTGCATAGCCACGGCGGTGCCTGTAAGAACCTTCAGAAATAACACAGAGAGCGGAGGAGCCTGAATGATCGGAAACAGAACCAAATTGGTTAGGGGCTGAAGAACAGTGGCTGCGCCACCACCTGTGAATGCCACGACTAAAGGCAGCACGGCTTAATAATATTCTCAAATGAACTACATCTGTCACCGGTGGACTGGACAGAACAATACCCCAGGGAGCCGGTTGGAAACGTCTTGTTCCTCCCGCCTGCCCCCCCCCCATTTGTCCTTTTCCGTGCAGTTCCTCACTTTGACCAGTAGGGTGAGCTGCAGCGTGTGTC